GTGGGTGGAGAGTTTAAAAAAATCCCTTGAGCCAACTCTGAGTCTTGTGGAAATGATACCACCTTTCTGCCACTCCTCTCAAACCCAGCCACATTTTGTGTTTCATACAATTATTTCCACTTTTTTTAGATAAATCAAAAAGCATTGAACTTGTGACACCTGAAATTTGACAGGGAAACAGCCTGATCTAATGCTCATTTAAATAGGCAGAAAGCCTCCCATTGACCTCAGTGGGTTTCTTGAGCAGGACCATAGTCCTCACTGACTACAGTCAAGTTGTAATTAAAAAGTCACTATTTGCCAATAGTTATTATACAAAGATATCTTGGATTCACAGTTTCCCCTATAATTACAATAGGAAGTTAATGTTACTATGTGGTATCCTAACAGCAACCACTATGGGTCTATGACCAGCACTTAACACTGTTAGTTAATTAAGTTGGAATGATTGAAAATTGGCCACTATACATGTGAAGTGGAAAAGCTTACTAATTCCCATCACTCTGACCTGGGAATTTCATCTTGTGAGGAGGTGCAGATGGCCTGCTACTCCCCCTTGCATCTTCGGTAGATGTACTTGCCCCTCTGCAGTCTTCTCAAGATCACTGATCTCCTCAAATCCTTGATGGTTTTTGGTGGTTGCCTGTGAATGACCTTTCCACAACACTATACTACAGAACAGCACAATTGCTCCTTGCCACTTACACTCAGAGAGAGTGAATTAAGTTCAGCCATGCTTTCTGAGCAAATTAGTCAAAATGACTTCTACTAACCCTTCAGATCACCTGCATAGGCTCAGCCAATCAGAGGACAAGAACTCATACCATGTGATTTATGACCAATCACAAACAACCCAGTTAAAAGTATGAAAAATTAGCACAAACATTTGCTACATAATTTTCACAACCATCCTAATTCTAAAGAAAGTTTGGGGAAAATGTCATTGAGTTCAGAAATTAGCTAAAGTTGTTCTAATTTCACAAAATGTTTGTGAACTAAAAACAGACATATTTTGATGAAAGCACATTTCTTTATGAAAATTTCTTTCAGCTCTAGTTTGGCAAGCTAAAGTTGGGTCTGTGGGTTGCACAATCTCTTGGGAATTACAGCTCATTTTGATGCCATGAATGAATGGCATTTTGGAGAGCTGCCACTGTTTTTCCCAATCCCACCCTTGTAGCTGAAAGACTAGAGAACCCAGTTGGGCACCCAAGCTCCCACCCCAACGAGCCCAGGACCCCTGAAAGCTGCAAGGGCCTGGTTTGCTCTGATGGTGGGTGCTGGCCCAGGTAATTTCATCCTTGATTCTAATGGTTTCTACTTCTCCCTCTCCTGGAAGCTGAGTGCAGACTCAAGAGATGTGTCTGAATCGTGGTACTCTCCCGAGCTTGCACTTTGAGAGAGATGCACTGTAAGCAGTCTATTTAATCACTTTTCAATGCATGTCAAGAGGCCTAAATAAGTAAAGGCTGCTTACATTCTTTCATAAATGCATCCTTGTCAATATATACTAGCAGTTTATGTGTTCTTGCCACATTAAATATTTGAATCTTAAAAAATTGTCTTCTAAAGGATTTGAGGATTTATTTCAATGGGCCTTAGATACCCAGGTGCTGTTAAAAATCCCAGTAGACACCTACCTGAATCTTTAGGGGACTTAAAACAAACAAACAAAAAATTAATGGAGATATCCTATCTCCTAGAACTGGAAGGTCATCACGTCCAGCCCCCTGCCTTCACTAGGCAGGACCAAGTACTGATTTTGCCCCAGATCCCTAAGTGGCCCCCTCAAAGACTGAACTCACAACCCTGGGTTTAGCAAGCCAATGCTCAAACCATTGAGCTATCCCTCTCCCTGTTAAATACCTAAAATGGACTAAATACCATTAAAAATCTGTCTCTAGTTGCTTTGCCAAATTGGGTTCTAAATAAGTGGCCTGATCTTCAGGAGTGCTGAACAACCCCCAGCTCCAATTGACTTTAGTGGAGTTACTCCTAATTTACTTGTGTAACAGAGACGGGAATCAGACCCAAGCTCTCCCTCCACCACCTAAAAACCCATTGTCAGATATGATGCAAATGGAACTGTTAGTATTGTAGTGTAATAATTACCACTTGTACCATAGTAATAGACTTATTATGGTTCTTCTCTTTAGTCATGCTTTGTCTTGTTATAAATCAACAGTGAAGTCACCCCACCTCCCTCCCACAAAGCCCAAGTAAACAACACTATGCAGGGAACCAGTAGGAGTTGGGAGCCCCACACCATCCCCAAGTAATAGTAAAGGCATGAGTCTCTGGGCTAGCAGAGGGATAGTGCCCTGTGAGCGCTCCTTAGGATGCAGCATGTTGGGTGTGTGCTACAAACAAGAGGTGGCATGGCCAAAGCGTTCTATGCTCCAGCGACCTTTGCCAGCATTACAGCCCATGCCACATACTTCCCATGAAACACTACGCCAAGTCTTGCTCTGTGCCTCAGTTTCCCCATCTGTAAAAGGGTATTTTGAGGCTTTATTCATCAATGTTCATGACAGGATTCTCATATAGAAGGTGCTGTCCAAAGTCCAAAGCATTATTGTAAGTGTTGAAGCAGCCGCAGTGACACTTATCTGAGTGGGCGAAAGACTCCAGCAGTGGCTTAGTCCATTTTATCACCTCAGGGGAGGCAAGTGTGCTAAGCAAGTGAGCTGAAGTATTTGCATCCAATATTTAAGGGCTCCTGTACAGCGTAGCATAATAATAACACCACTTAGCTCTTATGTAGCACTGGAAGCTTTTGCCCCAGCAATGTTCCTTAGGAGTGAAGGCCTTTCTGTCTTGTCCAGCTGCAGGGTGGGCTTCATGCAGATTGTTATATGTCGGTGGAGTTGCTGATCTTGAGCGATACTATTGCTAAGGCAGGTTGAAAATACCTGCTGGAAGCTGCTAGCTCCTGGCTGCTAACCTTTCTACATTAATTAGGGGGTAGACTGTGTGTGCTAAGAAGTGGGTGTTGCAAGGCTGCAGTTTGTTTTTGCTCTCCACTACAGAAACAAATACTAATGATACTTGTTCTGTGTAGAAAGTGAACTGCCCCCATATGCTGAACTGAGGTCCAAAAAATGCATTTAAATAACTAGACCACAGTTTTCACTGCGGAATGCTGAGATACAAAACAGGTTCTTGTATTGCTTTATGAAAATGTCTCATAATATTTATAAAACATTACTGTATAATTTTCTTTGGAAATAGTATAATAGTCTTTTTACTTGGGTATCTGATCAGAAAAGCTGCCATTACTTGCTGGGATTTTTTGTACTAAGAAAGCCATTCATTGCAATCCTGGAAATTGACAGTTTATAAAAATGACTCGAGTCTCCCATGAACCAACGGCCAATTAAGGGCCCACTGAACTCAACAGGAGTTTTGTTGTTGACTTCAAAGGAATAGGATCATGCCTTTAAGGGGATTTAAATTGCTTTGATGTTGGTAGTGGACAATGAAATACAACACTATTGATGTATCTTGGAAATAGGACAAAGACAAACGTACTCTACGACAAGTAAACCTAAAATATACGTATATTTACCTAGATGCCCTGAATCAACTAAAATGAAAAAACAAACAAACTTTATTTGAACTGTTTAAATCAGATTATTTTTCTCATCTCTCTTTTCCCTTCTTGTAAGAACTGACTCATCTATTTAAACCGTTTTCAGTCACTTCTTTCTCATCCTCTCCCTCCCTCCCCCCGCTTGTAAGAGTTGAATCATCAAATTAACAGTAGAATCTATTTGAAAGAGTTTATTAAAAATTGAGGAAAAACAGGAAGATCGGCCATGACATGTGCTCTTCCCATAGCATCACACGAATGGTGTGATGGTTGTACCGCTCTACAGGGAAAAGCTATGGCATAATTGTGTGAAACTCCTACGTAAGAACCAACTATCAGAGATTTTCTGCTAAAGTGATGATGGAGTGTTTGGGAAAAGCTAGCTGCAATAAAATTTGCTCTTTTGAAGTGGTAGCATCCGCTCTACTGCCTGGCCATGTCCAGGACATCCATCACTGCTAGGCAGTGGCCCTGCACTGCAAGTCCAGGAGGGTGGCAGCTGTCTTAAGCACTTTGTTCCCCTCTCTTGGGCCGCTAGATCTTAAAATGCAAATTTCATTGTTACCTCTGTTGTGTGCAGAAGCAGACTTGTAGAAACGGGCTGGGGGATTCACATTAGGGAAGCTAGAGAAACGCCTGCATGTCAATAGAACAACCTTATGAGCTGCGTTGCTGTACAGCACTTGAGCTGGGGAATCATGGAATCAAAGGGGATCTCTCCATAGAGTCAGACGTTAATGGGGCCAGCTGTATTTGTTCCTGTGATGTCAGCCTTGTGTAGTACCTGGAAGCCTTGGTAGAAGGGAAGAATAGTAAAGTTGACAAGTCCTTGGCTTTAACAATTATGTTTTGTCCTCCCTTGTTGGGTTTCCTTAGAAGAGGGACACACACTGCATGTTTACGAAGAGGTTGCAGATGGTGTAAAGCTCACCTCTCCACTCCTCATTCTGCTGTTACTCTGTGCAGGCCTACACCCCCTTTGTCAAGTTAGCAGCTGGCATCTGGCTGCCCTAACAGACATGTGGGGCCAAAACCACGACTGCAATCAGTGTACTATAAGGATGTCCCTTTTGGTGGCAGCAGAGGGTGGGTGTGGCATAAGAGATCCTACCCTCACCATAATCAGCCTGGCAGGGCCAACTATGTTGCTCTCTCAGCAGATCCCTCCAGCCAAGCAGTACAAAGCATATCAAAGTCAAAACATACCAGAGGAGCTGGCTGAGCATGTGGTGAAACTCACAGAAACACTTTCCAGCTTTGTAGTAGGATTCTAACCACAGGTTTAGTTTTGTGTTTTGGCACAAGCTTCAGCTCCCTTTAGAATTTAGGCCTTAGTGAGTAGCGAAAAGGGGCGTAAATGCAAGTGTTGAGCAGTATATGTTCAAGAACGTACAAGGGGCTTGTTCACTTGCATTTAGACTTCGTCAAAGAGCGTACTGAGTTTATTGATCACATGGGGAAAAGTTACATAAGCATCTGATTCTAATAACCCTATTGCTCAGAATTAAAAAACAGTCACTGAACAAAATAAGTAAGTCTTCATTGTTGCAAAACAAACAATCCCCAAAATGTGAGCACCTCAAAGAAAACTAAACATAAATGTATATGAAACAACATATGTGCACAAAACATTTGGTCATTTCAATCTTTTCCTTGTTTGAGTGGTCAATATATTACATATACTCTCCTATGTATCATACACATTTTAAAGAAAAATCATGGTCTAATCCTTAAGCACAGCTCTTGATTAAATTTGATTCTAATTTGAAACAGGAATCCAAGCTACAGAAGTGGCACATTATAAGATAAAAATACAGAAGAAAAGGTTTTGCACATTTCTCTATTTCACCCATGTCTCAGCCTGACTACAGCAGAAGTGAGCTGTTGCGGGGGGATTAACTCTAATTAGAAAGAACATCTGCACTCAAACAGAAGTCTAAGTAGGCTGTTCTTTAGTTATCATATTAAGAGTGCGTCAATATTTCCAAATCTTTATTATCCTGACGAGAAGGTTTATGGCTGCTTTCCTGCTGACTAACCCCTGAAATCAAATTGTAGAAATGTTATATTCAGTATATGAACTTTCACTGTGAATGAATCTGGGCAATTTTTTCTTCTTCAAATAGCTTGTTTCCATCTTTACTTTAATGCAACCCCTCATCCCAAGGAATATGAAATAATCATCTTCTTACTGTCATGAAGACAGATCCTGTAAACTCTTTCTACCAGTAATATTTTTTATTAGCAAGGATGGCAATGCAAGAAGGGTTTGCAGGATCGTGCTCCATGGTTTTGAAAGTTGCCAGGAACTGAGGCTCAGTTTTAAACTCGTAACAAGTAGAGTTTAAGATTATTCTTGACCAAGTCATCTCTTTAAAAAGTCATAGCTGTCCATTTCTTTTCCTTGCATATAAGCCTAGACAGGCACAGAATCCAATGATAGTGAGAACTATGCCTAGCAAGAGAGCAATTGCATCTCCAGCATCCAGGGCTTCAACCACAGGCAGCATAAGCATCAGTGAAATGAGCACCAAAAAGAGTTTTGAGGTGTTCCCAAGAAAAGCCATGTTGCTGATCAGGTGGTCTTGGAAGGGAGGTTAAACAATGACGAGAAGCTGGTACTTCAAATGTATCTAAAAATAAAACAAAAAGGAATATGAAAGGGTTTTTTCCTTTAAATTTATTTCTAAGAACTCCAGATCAACAGATGTGACTGGAGTATCACCAAATCTGTATGGAAATGTATTGTAGTGTGATTGATCCACAGAGCAGGAATGAGACTTGGAGATTCAGGCTTGGTCTTCACCGACACAAAAATGAGATTAAAAAAAAACGGTGAGAGTTCTCTCTCTGTAAAATCCTAAGTGAAGACACCATAGTGTTTATCATGAGGAAGCTAGCCAAGGTCAGCACTGTACTCACCACCCATGGTTGATCTTACCTAGTTTATCTTGCAGTAACACTAAAGTGCCTTGTCTCCACTAGGATTTTACAGCAGGATAGCTAATGCAGGAAAACACACACTTTTTTGATCAGTGAAGACATAGCTTTACACACTTACACTGTGCTTACACTTTTCCAGATTTCCCTTCCCTCTGGCTAAACACTGGAGTTAGAAGGGCAGATGAGCATAGAGATTGAGAAAACAGGACAACAGTGTAAATTATCTACAAGTTTTTGTCTTCTATTAAAAATCTAACAGCAACTTACCTTAACTCTATAATTACTCCTTTATGGTTAGCACTGGAATCCAGAAAGCAATGAACTCCACTCAGTCATCACCTGTCAAAAATCAAGAGAGAGTTATTTGTTCAGTTAATGGAAATGTAAAAGCTCTGCTGGCCATAGACAGTGGAAGGGAAACCAGGAACAGGCGGTGAAGTGAGTGAAAAAAATCTTCTTAGAGCTTAAGAGTCATGTGCAGCAACATGTGACAGGCAAATAAAATCGGCTTCTCTGGAGACAACTTTGCGCAAAATATGAACTCTGGGTATGAAAGCAAAGGGGTAGCTTGAGCTGTGAACGGCCCCGGATCTCTTTAATCTACAAAGTTATAGTCTCACCCTGTGTTAGAAGCCAGGCGTATGTGCATTACCTTCCTAGAGGCAGCCATTAGAGGGAGAAAGAGAAAGAGGAAGACAGTTTGACTACATTTCCCAGCATTTGTGCTGCCTACAATTCCCACAGTGCATTGAAGCAGATCAGAGTTAACCTTTTACATACACATAGAGGGCAGAATTTAAAAAAAAAAAAAATTCAGGCATTTTGCTTCCAGTGGAAATTCAGATTGATTGTCTACTGAGTATACAGCTGTTAACGTATCTATACTCTATCTGATATCCACTAATCTTTGGGTTGCTTTATACAGCTTTTAGGACCTGATTTGGCTCATGTAACGCCACCAACTTTTGCTCCTGATTTACATCAGTGTAATTGACAGTAGAACCAGGGCCTTCGAATCTATGATTAATAGTGATGTGACTTTTTCAGAAAAGAAAAAAAGGCTGGGCTTTTTATTGTTATTATTCATTTTAATTTAATAAAAACGAATACCAGGCAAATGTTTTATGTCTTTTTGTGTAATCTCCCAAACCAGTACCTAACGATTTCCCTGCAGCATTTATAATTAAAACATAGAAACTTTTTGCTACTGCCTGATAACTAGACGTAAAATAATAATTATTATTGTTGCTATTAATACTACTACCATAATTATTTCTTTCTGCAGCACCCAAAAGCATGTTTGGTACCTCATAGAAACACAAAAACACAAGGCCCCAACAGACACAGGGTTCTACCTTTGAGGATCAGACTGAAGAATCAGGGACTTATTTTAGACCCAATGCTACAAAAGGGTGCCAAACTACAGGGCACAGAATAAGAGAGGCGGAAAGATAATGCATAGCTCCACATGCCCACAGAGCCCTGTCTACACTAGTACTTTCACCATTGCTACCCCCAGTGCAGCGACAGTGATTGTAATGTATTGTTGTGGGAATTCCCCAAAAATGCTAATGTAGGGGAAGATTAAAAGACATGAAGTACATATGGAAATCTTAATCCAGGGGCAGTTCTTAATAATATCAATATTTTTAAAAATCCTAACATTATTATAAACCATTTAAAGGGACACATGCATACATACATACATATATATTTAAATCCCTAAGTAATAATGCCTTTGTTTATTAAAACTGAAATAAATTAAAAATCTAGTTTTCTTGGCATGCTGGTCATTCCCTGTTTGCTCTTGTCTCAACTTGGAGAAAGAAAATAGGACAAGTTAGTTTCATTGTTGGCTGTAGCCGAGTCCTAATTGATTTCACTCTTAGAGTTTCATGCACCTGCCATAATAAATAATAATGATACTAATTAGCATTTATATAGAACTTTTCATCCAGAGATCTCAAAGCACTTCTAAAAGGTGAAAATCATTATAGCTCCTTTAAAAACAGAGAAATTGAGGCCCAAAAATGTTAAGTGATTTACTTGTGGTCACCCAGCAAGTCTATGAAAGCATATAGGAACTACACCTCTACCCCGATATAACGCTGTCCTCAGGAATCAAAAAATCTTCCCGTGTTATAGGTGAAACCGAGTTATATCGAACTTGCTTTGATCCGCCGGAGTGCGCAGCCCCTTCCCCCCCCACTGCCCCCCGGAGCACTGCTTTACCGCGTTATATCTGAATTCGTGTTATATTGGGTCGCGTTCTATCGGGGTAGAGGTGTAGTTGTTTGTCCTGATTTTTTTCTGTATTTTCTCTATTGGACAATGCTGCTTGTGGCAAGGCTGTGCATTGCAAGATTGCCGCATTGTATAGGTCAGGGGTTGGCAACCTTTCAGAAGTGGTATGCCAAGTCTTCATTTATTCACTCTGATTTAAGATTTCATGTGCCATTAATACATTTTAATGTTGTAGAAGGTCTCTTTCTATAAGTCTATAATATATAACTAAACTATTGTTGTATGTAAAGTAAATAAGGTTTTTAAAATGTTTAAGAAGCTTCATTTAAAATTAAATTAAAATGCAGAGCCCCCCCCGGACCGGTGGCCAGGACCTGGGCAGCAGGGGCAGTTCTAGCTTTTTTGCCACCCCAAGCACGGCAGTCAGGCTGCCTTCGGCGTCATGCCTGCGGGAGGTCCCCGGTCCCGTGGATTCGGCGGCATACCTGCGGGAGGTCTGCCGGTCCCGCGGCTTCAGTGTACCCACTGCCGAATTGCCGCCAAATCCGTGGGACCGGCAGACCTCCCACAGGCATGCCGCCTAAGGCGGCCTTACTGCCGCCCTCGCAGGGACCGGCAGGCCACCCCCACACGGCTTGCCACCCCCCATGGCTTGCCGCTTGGAGCGCTGGTGCCTGGAGCCACCGCTGCCGGGCAGTGTGAGTGCCACTGAAAATCAGCTTGCGTGCCGCCTTTGGCATGTGTGTCATAGGTTGCAATGTCCACCTTGCAAACGCTACAGAGGAATTTCAGAGTAGCAGCCGTGTTAGTCTGTATCAGTAAAAAGAACAGGAGTACTTGTGGCACCTTAGAGACTAACAAATTTATTAGAGCAGTGTTCAAAAATATGGTTTCAATTGGCATTTTTAAAGAATGGATGGACACATTTGTATTGATGTTTGGTTAAAACTTGCTTTGTTTTTTTAAAAGAAAGCCTAAATTTAGGGCCAATTCTAACACACACACACAATATTCTAATATTTAGAATATTTAATCTCCCTATAAATGAATACTTTCATTATGGTGTAGCTGTTTGTACTATGTAGGGGGCATAGGATTACTCTATATCTACTCTATATCCTTCCCTATATTAAAATGAGATAATCCAGTGTCATTAAGGATGCATATACAATCTTTATTAAAACTACAAAATCACAATTAACTTCTTTCCAAAAAATAAAGCACTTCCAGATACCCTCAACCAGAAACTCTTTCACTATTCCATCCGTTTACTCATCCTTTGCTTCCAGAAAAGCCTTGTAGAACAGATGAAAGGAAGTGACATCCCCGCCAAGTCTCTGTCCTCACTGTTGCCTGGATCCTCACACAAATATATGAAGTCATTTTCCCCAGACTCAATTTTATGCCAGAACATGCCATAGATCAATGGGGAGGTGTTCACCTTAAGTAACCCCACTCAGGAGAATGCATCTGCATTCTAGTGTAGTTGGGGCTTCTGAGCAGTTTTCATAGATAGTCACAGGTAGAATTTTTTACAATGGTTGAATTGAAAGGCTATTAAGCCAAGTTCTAAGACATGGATGATCAAGGCTAAACTATCATCTTATAGGAAGGACACAGTCTCTTTGCCAGTTGTAAGTGAAATAATGCTGTTCTGATGACTGACGTGGTCAACAAGTCTCACAGTAGTGATGAGAAAGGTTGAAACCAAATTTCTAATTAAGACAAGTCAGCATCACAACAGGTTTAATAATTTATGGTGATAAAAACAGCCAGAGTAGTTCTTCCATTATTTTAAGACCAAGAATGGAGGTTGCAGTTGTCTACCTTGCCTTCCAATTCAAGTTTGTAATTCTATCCATTTTAGGTACTTATATGGCTCCCATTATTGTAATATCGAATGCCTTGCAATCTTGTTTGTATTTATCCTCACAAAACCCCTGTGAAGTAGGGAAGTACTATCATCTCCATTTTACAGATGGAAACTGAACCATTGGGAGGCCAAAATAACTTACCCCAGGGTCACATAGGAAGTCAGTGGCCGAGCTAGGAACTGAACCCATGTTTTTCAATTTCTAAAGTAGGGCCCTAATTGCTGGATCATCCTTCCTGACAAGTCAGGCCTTCTTGAGCTTTTCAGTGTTCGTTAGTGTTTCTGAGGCTAAAGAAGGTGCTATGATGGAAGGCATGGAAGGTCTCACTACAGCTGGAAGGATTGCTGACTATCTGAGTCTCTTCCAGATTGTTACTGAAAAAGCACCTCTGTTGCAACTACATGTGTTCCTACCTGTACAACAACCTGACATGCTTCCCAGATTTTGGGAAGATGGTAGGTTTTCCCCACTTACTTGCCCATTTTTTTCAGTTGTTTTTAATTTATTAAAATTGCTTAGAGGTTGGGAGAGGAAGCAAGATGACGGTGTTCAGGGCCACGCTGTCACATTGAGCTTATATTCCCCTGCCCTTCCCCTAGAAAAGACACAAGTGGGTTTGCATCCTGTGGTTTTGGTTATTATTGTTCTTGGGAGTAATCGACTGAATTACAACTCCATTGTGCAACCACCTCACATCTACTGTGTGGGAATAAATGACAAACATTGAAAAGTTTAGGTTATAGGTGATGGTGACAACAAATACAGTGTGGAAATTTACAAGAAGAAATATGTTTTTTGACATTACAGAGCAGCACAGTGTGTACCTGTCAACATTGCAGGATGCAATAAATCTGCTTATAGGGAACAAGGAGAACAGTTCTGAGGCCCACTAGCTAGGATGACAAGGCTAATCAAAATTACACTTACCATACCAGGTTCCTCCTGAACTTTAGGTATATCATTCTTCACATTTCAGTGGCTAGCTGACAGGTCGGAAAATGTAATTGTAAATGAAGAGTCATTGTTGAGTGGGGTTCTGCAGTGATTGGTTCTTGGCCCTACACTAGTGGTCGCTGGGAGCTGCGGGGGGGCCGTGCCTGCGGATGGTCAACGTCAGCAAAATGTCTTGCGGCCTGCAATCAGATTACCCTGATAGGCCGCATGAGGCCGTCAGGCCGCAGGTCAGGGCCGTCCCTAGCTATTCTGAGGTCCTACACAGCTCCCCCGCGGGGGTGTGTGGGGCCCCAGGCCTCCGCAGGGTGGGGTGGGCCCCAGGCCTCTGCAGAGGGTGGGGGGACTGGCTTGGGGGGCAGGGGGAAACTACCCCCAGCACTCACTGGCGGCGCAGCTGGGGCTGGGTCCCTGCACTTCCTGCCGCTGGTGAGTGCAGGCCCGACCCCTGCTGGAGTCCTCAGGGGAGTGGGGGCGGGGCTGGGGCGGGGGCTTTGGGGAAGGGGTGGAGTGGGGGCAGAGCTACGGTGGAGCAGGGGCGGGAAGAGGTGGGGCGGGGGCGGAGCAGGGGCGGGGGCCATGGGAAGAGGTGGGGCGGGGGCTGGAGCAGCACACAGCTGTGCAGGGCACCAGGAAATGTGGTGTCCCAAGTTTCCTGGTG